GGTGAGGACACTGGGCAGCTTACAGCCATTTTTATTTTCTCATTAACAGAAACTTCACTTCCAAAAGAAACAAATATCTCTGCATGAAAACGGTCTTTGAACTGACACTGATGTCACATTAGACAATTCAACAGGTCCACGGTCTACGATGTCCTCAACCTACGGTGTCTCCCATAACTTAATTTGGAAAGTCTCCTTCCATCATTCCAACATACAGTGTTAGGAATGTAAGACTGGTTTCTCAAATATGGACTTGATACAGATTTTACTAAAGATGCAGATAATTCCCACAGGATTCACTGCTTTGTCACACATTCGTACATTTACTCCTTTATCTTGAGGGATTTTTTTCTAATTTATTGAAATTATAAGATCTACCAAAGGAAGAACTCATGCTCACATTTCCTTTGTTCTTAAAACGGCACTAATGTTTCAAGGGCAGATATATTGCACCAACATCCACACAAATCTCCAGTTAAATGTATTCTAGCCTCAGGACTCCAACCTCCGCCTTTCATCCCTTCTGTCACGTTCAGGTAGAAGATTAGAGAAAATTTTATCTCCAGATCAAAGTGCTAACTGGTTTAATTCTGGTAATCCATGGGCTCTAATGAAAAAAAATGAGTCTCATCAGCAAATCTTGGCCCTGAGCTACGTTAAGCTAAGTTAAATGAATGTTTTTTGCCTGGATCCAGCAGTATGTGGGGAACGACTGTTGAAGGTCACTGCTCCTCCACGTGCTTCTTTATACAGAGATTGATGTAGGGTGTATTTACATTCTATTATTCTAATTTTTTAGAAAGAGCAAATTAATGAATCTCGGTTCTTGATGAGCTGTCGTTTTTCTACAAAGATTAATTTGAATAATCTGTCACCGTGGGTCAGGTCACATAGCGCCCAGCTCTGCTGCAAGATAAGGAGAAGAAAAAGCTCAGCACAGAAGCTTGAGCAACCTCGCTAATATGACTCTTTCAATCACTCCTTTTAGGTAAAGATTTACGTAAATGTTGACTAAAAGATAAAGATAAGATGCGGCTAAGTCCAGGCTTCTTTTCTGCACTAACATTACTCAATTTTTCAAGTTTATATATTTTGCTTTATTTTGCTTTATTTTGTTTATTTTTAAATTACTTTATAGCTACCTTTTAGCTATTTCAAGGGAAACTTTTAGCTGAAGCTTTTACTTTTTGCTTATTTGTCAGCAAATTTATTCTATTTTCACCTTTAGGATGACAGAGCAAAAGTGCGAGGTATTTAATGACTTTGAGGTAGTTTACCTCATTAGCAGTCCAACCAACGAATGTAAACAATGCCGTCTTCCGCGTACAACATATGACGTATTAGTCCGCTCTGCTCACCTACTAGTTTACATGTGAAATGAGAGAAGGAACAAGAGAGATGGTGATGGAAACACTGTAGGTCAAAGATCGTAAACTGAAGACCCCCCATACATGTATTCACACTGTGGGTCATGTTCTGGTCAACCAAAAACAAAAGATCATTTGGCCGGACCAACTGTTTTGTATCTATTCTCTGTGTAAGAAATTTGTCAAGTGGTTTTCTGTAGTTCTCCAAACTTTACTGAAGCGTTACCACAAATGTGCTTGAAGCTTATATAGAACCTGCAGACAAACATACGGGTGACAAAGTGAAAAAGTACGACGCAGCAAAGTTGAAGTGGTTGCAAGTGTCTTTATTGCACGTCTCAGACAGATCAGAGCACATAACCTGGAGCACAAAGAGACAGAAGGGTTTTCATCTATGAGAGGTGGATTTCCTGTGATGATGGAAAAATGATTGATCCAGAGGGAAAAGTACCAAGGGACAGGGATGTTCTCATTTGGGCTGAGCAAAGCAATTCCAGCGTGCACATTTTATTTGTAGTCATAAAAAACAAATTGTTATAAATTATTCTCTATAGTCCTTGTGTTGGTGGCTAATGTTTACATCAACCAAAAATGTTTTTATTTGAAGTCTATTGCTGCTGCTGCAAAAAACCCACCAAACAACTAAAAACACTTTAAATAAAGCTTACATTTAAAAACACACAGCTGTGTCGTAGATACAGCACTGAGAAATGACTTTAGAGAAGAAAACACTTACAGGGAGCAGTTACAAATGTTTCTATTCCACAACAATAAAATATACAGAATGTGTAGAAGTTTGTCATCCAAGTCTTATTTATACAACACTGGCTTTAAAGTCGACATCTTTAATTTTATTTACTGTGACATGTAAGAATCCAAAATGCTACATTAGCCTTGAATAAAATGTATTTACTGTATATTCTATATACAACCCCAGTCAGTAGCTTTAGAACACAGATTTACCTGCTGTGTAATGGTCTCAGTGCAGAACAAAGTGAAATTCAAATCTAATGTAAACTTTAGCTTCCTTCAGCAGCACCACACACTGGTAGGGTTTGATTTCTTATATTTTTACACTAAAAAATGTTTCTTGGAAAAGTTTTCACAAAAACCACTGCAGAGGTTTGTAAAAAAAAAAAAAAAGAAGAAGAAAGAATAGCGAAGAAAAGCTGAGTTTGCAGGTTGTTTTCCTTTTACTTACTGTGCACTTCATCCTCCCAGCTGCTCCAGGGGTTTAGGTGTGGAACCTGTGCTGCTCCACATCTACATCTGCAGCTGTTTTTTTTATTTTGAATATTCTGGTTCATTATCCTGTCTGATGGGATCACACTGTGGTCTGTTTGCTAATTTTCTCGTACTCCTGTAGTACTGTGTTTTAAAATTATGGAACAAAGAGCATTTTATCACGGTCAAATTTACTTTTCTCTGCTTGTTTTTGTTTCTGCTCATTTATGGTGCACTGGTTAGGACAGAGCGAAAGACAGTGTTTTTAGTAGTACTAGTAGTAGTAGTGATGGTAGTATTCAACGTAGTTAATGGGTGAAAATGTTAAGCACCAGATGATTTAAAAGAAGGACATGAGAAGAAACTACATGTATCTTATGTAGTTTTTTCTCATGTCCTTCTTTTAAATCATACTACTGGGATCTTTCAAAGCAAATTTAAAAACAAGCAAATTAAAACATAAGGCTAAAAAATTATTACAATAATGTCTGGTGCAGTTAAAACTGAAAAACCTTTTACTTATGTGGTTTCACTTACTGTATGTAAAACTAAATGCACAACAAGAAATCCCATCTTCCTCTTACTTATCTGCCAACAGCACTGTAAGGGTGTGTTTGGTTTCAGATTAAAATATCATGCTAAAAGTATGTTGTTGTTTTTTTCTTTAAACAATAGCATTAGCTACTTAATAGGGACTTGATATAGACATGTTAGTTTGAGACTAAAACTGAGATGCCATGGCGCGGGGTGACTTTACTTCACCCACTCTTATAATGCAATTTAAGACTAAAACTGATGAGTGTGAAGATAAACTTGTTGTAACAATTTATTGTCTGCTTTACTTCCATCTTCCCTTTTTATAACCTGTTTGATCATTTGTGTTTATTACCCCATTAGACTTCTTTTGGTGATCCTACCACAGTCTGACATAAATTGTGTAAGTCATTACCCACAGGAATGATGATCAAAGCAGTAAAAAATAAAAGCTCAGCTGCAGTAAACTACAATTGTTCCCTAAAAGTTTGGGGAAAAAAGTTTTTTCTCCATCTGTTCCTGTAAGAATGCATTAAATTAGTTCTGTGGGTCTTAAAAAAAACGACCACAGTTCATTAGAAATAGAAAAAAAAAATCTTTAGAACATCTGTACAGCAAGAAACCAGACAGTTCGTCCAGTTAAACCATTTGACAACAGACCGAGGGGACAACAGACGGAGTGAACCCACCATACTCTACAATGTTCAGGGCTGTAGTAGACTGTATAACTACTTTTACAATCTCAAATAAATATAGCGTTCGAATCTGAAACAAAAATACAGTTAAAAACAACCCCCTCATATTCTGCAATCTAAATTCCACTGGCGGCTCCTAGCACTCAGTGGAATATTGTTTAGTATAATGTAGTCCATGCATCATAAGAGAGAAAGGCCACCGTGTTCCTGAACTGTGGTCCACAGTGAGTGGATCAGAAGCACAGGACACAGCCAGAATAGAATGTTAGGATGTTTTAGAAAGTTTTTTAAATGAGCAAAGAGAAAGAGAGAGAGAAACAAACAGAAAGAGGATAAAAATTGCCTGCCTCAAAAAAAGGATTGATAGAGGAAAGAAGGTTGCAAAAGAGGGTGGGAAATGGAGGGAGAGACAAACAGCAATATTTGGATGAGGCAGAAGAAGAAGCAGCAGGGCAAGCTGATCACAGCTTGTCTGACATCAATCCAGGTGGTTTTGTTTTGTAGAGTTTTATTTTTGTCTGACGTTCACTGGACACATATCTGATTCTTCAGGCTGTTGAAGAAAAACAGAAGAAAAACATGGAAAATTATCATTCCCATTAGATTCACATTACATTTCAGAAAGAAAGCTTAATAGTGGAGTTGTGAAAAAGTGCCATTAAATGACAAAAAAGATGTCTAACAAGTCAGATATGAAGATAGCCTTTAGCTAAGCTTAGCTTGTAAATACTTTGTACATACTTTATACTATGCATTCTCGCTGAGAACTAGTCACACTTTCTTTTCCCTTCATTTACTCTTCTTTTTTTTCTTTCGATTTTGTCCCTTTTTCAGACCACAAACTACAATTCCTCCCATGGCACTTTGTCATATGCCTTTTCTTCTTCTTTCTTTTTCTTTCGGCTTTGTCTTTTTCAGGGGTTGCCACAGCAGATCATTGATTTCCATCTCTCTCTGTTCTCTGCATCTTCTACTCTGACTCCAACTATCTCCATGTCCTCCCTCACTGCATCCATATATCTCCTCTTTGGCCTTCCTCTTTGTCTCCTACCTGGTAGCTCCATCTCTAACATTCTTCTACCAATGTATCCACTGTCCCTCC